TATCCGGAAGTCGGACGCAGGTGAGAGTTTTTCTAGGTTTTTCTGAGGATGAAGGGGGTGAACAGTGCGTTTTGGTTTTGTTTAGGTGTTGTGGTCTGTTTGGTGGTGTCGATGGAGATTGGAGGAGAAGGAGTGGGGCTCGTAGGGTTTTGGGTGGTGTGTTGACGGTGGTGATGGAGGAGGTGTTTGGACGGTAGGGTTTTTGTTAGGTTTTGTTTTGTTTGTTCTTCTGAGGAAGAACCATGAACAGTGATAGCCCTCCCATTTTTCAAAGTCCCGTTTTTTCATTTTTTCAAAATCCTGTCCGTGTATTTTATAACCTTTGCCAAGAAAAATGAGCCCCACGCGTGGTGGGGTTCAAGGTTTGTGTCCCCCACGCGTGGTGGGGTTCCTCATGTGTCGTGGACTCGATTTATTATGGGCTAGGTCCGAAAATTAGGCCTAAAACCGGGCAGTTTGAACCCGAATATTATTCGTTTGCCCGGATCCGAAAATAAGAACACGACGTTGCTTAACTAATTATGTAAGCAAAATAGCTACTAAAATAAGACTAATTATTTAAAACAAAACTATATTATTATTTTCTTAATATTTTCGAGATTAAAATAGCTACAAAATATTAATAAAACTATTTTGTAATTTTCGTTTTTTAATAAAGACAAAATATAAAGTAATATTTTTTGTATTTTTTTTCAAAATTAAAATGACTACGAAACATTAATTATATTTTTTTGTAATTTTCGAATTTATATAAAGTACCAAAATAAAGTACAATTTTTGTATTTTTCAAGTTTATGAGAAATACATAAACTAAAATTTATATATGTATTTTTTGTGATTTTTTCTTTTTGCAACGAAATAAAGTAAAAATAGTTAAAATAGCTATACTAGACCCAATTTCACATATTCACGCCAAAAATGTGAAAATTCTAGGGGAGGGTCAAAAATCCGGTGTCTACAACAAGGAATATTGGAGAGTGAATATTACTATAACAAACTTCAATTACCGAATGAATTATACACCATGGAACTTATACACAATGGGACTTAATTGTCCAACATCTAAACTTTGATAACCTCACTATGTCATTCAGCTTTAACTACAAGTCAGTGACTCCTTATGGAGCAATTAGTAAGTCCTCAATCTGATTGTAAATACTCTGACCTTTAGTTGCTATTATTTCATTTGTGAATCAGATAAAGTAGCAGTTTCTCTGTCCGGCTGATAATATTCTCGTTGTAGCTTTTTTCACATAGAGTAAGAAAAGTTGAAGTAATTCATGTTTATCTATTATCTCTTTATGAAAGAAGAAGGCTTTGTAGGAGCTGTTTGAAGGCACCTAAAGTTGGAAGGTAATTTTGGAGTGAAAACATCTAGTTTTAGAATGTGAGTATTTGTGGGATATACTAAAAAGGATCTACTTATACTTTTGTTATTTAATCTACAACTGACATTACTTTGGGTTGTTACTACACTTACTTTTTTGATACCTGAATATACCTAGAGGATCAGCTGAGATTTTGAAAATAATATGATTAACCTTATGGATGTTTTTGCAGATGACACTATTATGCTAAGGGGTGTGAAATTCTACAATGATCTATTCATGCAGTGAGAGCTGATTCATCGGCTGGAAAATTACATAAGAACTTTAAGCTTCAAAAAATTGTAAATATAGAATGAAGGTAAATGCATTATAAAGAACGAATTCACACATATCTATCAACTCCTTTTGTATAACATTTAAACTTTTCCTAAGTAAGAGCTTAAGTTCCCTCTTTATTCAATTTGAATCTCTCTTTAAACATAATCGTTATCATATATTCTGGACTTTCCAAAGCACAAAATCAATTCTGATTCCTAATAGTGTCGGACTTTTGTCTAATCTAAATTTCATACCACGCATCATAATTTCTGCTAATAAGACGTAAAAATCTATCCAAACTCATGTACAGCTAAATAGAAGAGCCATATCAACAATATCGGTATACATGTGGTCTTTATTTATATTTTTTTATTTTTTTATGAGGTCGAAGGAAATTGACCTTTGTCTAGTGAGATATAGATAGCTATAACTTAAAAGAATTTCTAGTGGTAGGGGTACGACTTCCTTCCTATAGCAATATAAGGAACAGAAAAGGTTTTTTTCCAGTTGTTCTTTCTATTCGTGCAATTCATATGGTACTTTAGCTTATAATCATGTTAAATTTTATTCATGATTGATTTAAATTTCGTTTATCATTAAGACTATAAGGATCTAAAAAGGAGCCTGAAATTGGAATAAGAAAATAGAGATGGAAGTAAACATTATAAAATGTCTAGAAGCGTTTTTCAAAAACTCTTCACGAAATCCATAAGCAGGTCATTTAGATCTAAAGAAAGAGGTGAAAGACGAATGCTAGAGTACTGGCAATTGATGTTATATTTATTCTCAAATACAGAGCTTCCTTCTTACACTTGGATAACTTATGAATTATCAATTTGCTTTACAGTTCATTTTTGCACACCATCTGCAGGAGGTTGTTTTTTTATAGCTTTCGACCACTGTGGATTGTGTCGTAAGCAATAACAATAAGTTTGTTTTAAGTTTGCACTTCAGTGTATTTTCTTCTGTCAATCATATTTATTGGTGGGTACCTCTTCTCTCATCTCTTTGATTCATCTTTATCTATTATCTATATTTCTCTTGAGGAGTATCAATGGATTTTGGTCTTTAATGAATTACCATTTCTGTTATGGCTTTTGTTCTCTAGGTGTTTGAGAAAATTCTTCAATGAATTACCATTTCTATTAAATTTCTTATGCATATTTTTGTCTTCTTTATTTTTTAAGTGTTTGTGATTCATCTCTATCTGTATTTCTCTTGAGGAATATCAATGGTTTTTGTTCTCATTTCGCTGAGGCTAAATTATATAAAAATGGTTGTAAATAATGCTCATGTGATCATCATCTTTCTTACACATCAAAGGTTTTTACTGCAAAAGAATAATTATCGTAATTTATGAAGTGATCGATTCTGCATAAATGCAAAAAGGACGGACATACTTCTTACAATGAATAATGACTTCTCTCTGTTTCCAATTTATTCCTTCAATGAAAAGTGTGATAGTATTACATGTGATTTTTTGTTGCATGTTTTCCCTTTCTTTCTTAGTGGTAAAAGGATCAATTTTGGCTAAAAAGTGAAGTCGTAATTGAGGTTTCTATTGATTCTTATAACCTAAATCTATAGTAATTTTAGAGATTGAAGTTTGCATTATGTAGTCTGCAATTTCTTGGCTGGTATTAAAATAAAAATGGAATTTGTACCTTGCTTTTAAGTCATAAAGGGATCACTTGGCAGAAAGGTTGCTTCTTTATTGGGAATACAATTTTTTTTCTGTGATTATAATTTGTTATGGTGAGAAAGGTTTTAAATAATTCTCTTACCTGGACGACATGTCTGCCTCACACTTCAAGGGTAATATTGTCTTTCCATCTAATTTTTATTAGCTTCGCTTGAATTATATCGACCACTTCAGAAAATCTGGCAATCACCGCTTCTTTGGCTTCTAACTTCTTGCTCTTCTTGTTCTTATCGGTACCAGGCAGACAACTCTTTGAGAAACTTGGCAGATGCAGGTTCTCTGTATCAAAAACCAATCTAGCAATAGTTTAAAAGCTCAGACGTCTGGAAATTGCAGTTTTCCAGTTCCACACCTTTTCGCTCCTCGCAGTTGCTGATCTTATCGCTAATTTTTCTCTCTGGGTTATTATTTTTTGTGAGTTTTCTTCTTCTTATCTTCTGTTTCTCTGTTTAATCTTTCATGGAATGCTAAGGCTTTGCTGCACAGAAAGTTTAAAGTGTCTATCACCTTTGTTCTTTAGGTGTTCGAGGCAATTCCTGAATGAATTAGGCCTTTTCAAGATTTCTATTATTGTTTTAGATTTAACTACACCTAACAAGAGCTCCCTTTTCTTGTTCCTTTCGTCCACCCCACATCACTAAGCTAAAGAATATATTATTTTTGGATGACAAACAATTAAATGAACGATGATGTGTTAAAGAAAAAGAAAGAAAGAAAGAAAGAAAGAAAGAAAAGAATAAATTGGGAACAATTTCTGATACTAGGTGTGCTAATTTGTTGTGAGCTTTCTTGTCATCTTATGTTTCTCTAGTGTATCTTTTATGGCATGCTAAGCCTTTGTGCACAAGAAATTTAATATGTCATGTGCTTTAGAAAATTCTTGATTGAATCAGTCTCATCATTGGCGGTAATTTTGATTTTGGATAAGCGGTAGGCGGTGACACATTTTTAGGTTTGAATATTTCATGAAAAATTTGGGCTGAAAATATTTTACAGATAACAAGAAGTTGATCGTGAAGTTAGCTGCTGGATCCATTCTATAGGAGACCCAAGGTAGATCTGTCGGCGTCCGCAGACCATGGAGTCCCCTTCTAGACATTTCATTTTACTATTTCTTTCATTTCGAAAACAGTTGTATTTACTTGTAATGAAATCTTAGAAGTTCGTGAATTGTGATTCTAGATCTGGGTAGTGGAATAACTTTAGTAATTCTTTAAATTACTAAAGAATTAAGCTCAAATTTTTACAAGAAATTGAGCTCCCAAAAAAGCGTACAATATACCATCAATTTTTTATTGTGCTTCCCGTGATTAAAAGTTAATCAGAGGATACTTTTGTCATTTCAGCCTATTTTGTGTTTTAACAAAGATGGCGTGTAAGAGCCCTTGAGTCTAAAAAAGATGAATTTGATTGGCTAAAAAAGAACTTTACCCTGCTTTCACTATTATACCCTCTACTTTTGATTGGGTTGTGTCAGCTTTTGTTATGTTACATCACTACAATGTCAGTACTTTTGCTTTACTAGAACGATTGGGCCCCACGAAACTTTTCATTTCATCAGCTTGGTCATCATCAGCATAATACAACTTTTGTTTATTGTATAAAAGTAAGGCGTAATGATTTTCTGACCACTTAAATTTGTAGGGCTTTTGAAAGGTAATACACGAACTTTAAATTTTCTCATTTGAGCACTCTAACTTGACAAAATGGGTAATAATAAACACATCTACCAGAGCGTGTATATCAATTGCGTTGACATGTACAACACATCATGCTAAGCTATTTATTACCTGTCATGTGTTATTTGTGGGTCCCATTTTTAAATACAAAATCAGAAGAAAAAAAGTTACAAATACAAAAAGGAAAAAAAAACAATGCCTAAAACATACTAGGTGTTCGACAATTCCACCATGGGAATCGTCCCTTCCGACGAGCAGCAGAACTCCGGCGAGGCAAAAATGAACGCGCAAGGTGTTCCAGGTATCCAAATTGGACAAGAAAGGTACCAAAATGTTCGCCTTGATGAGGAGAATGCTCCTACACTTCCAAATTCATATGGGTACCAATCAATTCCTCCAATTTTACAATCCAAAAGCTCAGACAGTCCGGTTGAGCAAGGTGTTCGATGAAATGCCCCTATCAATTCTGGGCTAATTGGAGACCAATTTTCATTTGGAATCCCTTCTACACACCCACGGATCCTCTATGCAAAGATTCAGCTCAATCCATTCAAGAAATCAACCATCACCATCAAGTTGAAAACTCAGAACTTCACCAGTTGGCCGGGCATGGTGCTCCAGGGATAATTGGATCCCAAAACCAATGCCAATCCATTTCTGCACCCCAGGTGAGTATTCCCAACCCATCACAACCAATTTTACATGGGTCAATCGCGTCGAATATTAAAAAAGGTCCTTCAGAACACTGTTCGACCATATGTCAACCCCCAATCCAGCCCAATTCAAAGGAATTTATTGATGGGAGACCCTTCCTTAGTACCTATGGAGATCACTTGCCAAGTTTCTCAGCAATCCATTGTAGGAATTGAATCTGCTCAAAAAATTAGAAAAGTCTTGCAATCCATTGCGGAAGATGAAAAAACTAGAAAAGTTTTTTTTGCCTTTTTCATTTTTATTTTTCTTTTTTATTTATATTTTATTCTAATTCTAATTTTTTTAAGTAAAAACAATACTATTCACACACCTTGGCAGCGTGATTTGCACACAGTTTAGTCATGTCAGCTGTAGTGTTTCCACATAGGCATGGTCAACGGTCAAAAAAGTGTTTATTATTACCCATTTTGTCAAGTTGAAGTGTTCAAATGGGAAAGTCCAAAGTTCGTGTATCGGCTTTCAAAAGCTCTACAAATTTAAGTGGCCAGGAAGCCATTACGCCTAAAAAGTAAATTAGTTGAGCATCACATCTCAGTGTTCTTATCTCCCGCTTCCTCCCNTTCTTATCTTCCGCTTCCTCCCTTTCCTCCTCCTTATTTTTCCAATTTCTTTCTTCTACTTATTCTTCTTTTCTGTTTTTGTGTTTTTTTGGGTCCGACTCCATCTCGATCGACGCTATTCTTCATTGAATATTAGAGCATTAAAAAAATTATGAGTTCTATGTCTTCAAGAAAATAAGGAAAACACTTGTATCTTTTATATTGTACATTTGTATATAAGATATCGTATCGATACGTGTTAGAAAACGATTTAAAATTGAAACAATTTTGTATATATCTTTGAAGTATTACTTACTGCATGCATTATAAATTAATTCTAACATCAATAAGGCCATAATCTTACTGTAGCTGCTACATAAAATCTTTAACGATTTGACGAAATTGTCCCTTATTTATCTCATCAACCAGTAGCACATTCTTCGGACAAGTGTCAACTCTATCTACTTGTCATGAGTATTGCTAACTGCTAATTATAGTTTCTTCTTTTTCTCCCTTCTAAAAGTTAAATATAGTTTAATATATTAATAGCATAATTTTGTTTTGCCGCATTACTACATTGATCTTATTCAATTCTTGTAGCTATTTTTATGCCTAACTTTAGTTTTAATTTTAATTAGATAACATTAAAAAAAACTTATTGTTGGCATTTGTAATTACAAAGCGTTATTCTATTTTGAGAATAGAGATTTTACTAAGCTAGCTGCCACCAAAAAAGTGGGGCATGCCTTAAATCGAACCACATGGCTAAGTTTCTCATAATGTTACTCAAGACAGGAGAGTCGAGTGAACGAAAATGTGAAGCTCTTTATATTAAATATTGCACTTGCATTTGAAATGAGCAATGATTCTTGGTCACTTATGTTTCCGCTAATGAGCCAGAATGATATTTTAAGTGGTTAGTATCTTTACATTACGATGGTCGACCGCTACTAATATCCAAATAGTTTGTTATTTTCTTAACTTGTAAAATGCATTTTGAAATAATAGGGGTATATCAGGGGAGGGAAGGGACAAAGAGCTGCAGCGAGAGAGAAATTTTCGTAGTCTTGCTTTCGCGAAACATAAGATTGTATCCCCTCTCTACGTCTTATTATTCACCATTTTTCTTCCATGCCTTTATTTGAAAGGATGTGTAAATGTTTTCTAGATTTCTTCTTAAGAATGATAGTAGCATCTCAAATTCAATCACTCTCACTTGATTTTTGTTTATATTACTTTGGATGAGCAGGAGGTTTCGGGAGCTATCTGTTGGGCACGAGTGAAGTTGTTGCCGAACAGACAGTTGAAGCTAATAATGCAGCTAATATTAAGAACCCCTCTTTGGGATGGATGATAGAGTTTCTTTTTTGTTGTTAGATTTTTTGGGCTTTTCTCAATGGTTCATAATGTTTGGTAATAGTTGCTTAATAATTCACCTTCAAAATAAAAGTTTAATGAGTAAATTTGTCCTTGTGCTTTACAGTCAGAATCCTGGGACATTTTGCATGCTCTGAATGATCAGCTTTGTCCATCAAGGTAATCGCTTAGTTCAAGAATTGATTTGTTTGATATATAATTTTTGAATTGGTGATTGCCATTGTGTTGTTTGGGCGTTTTGTAAATTATGCGTAAATTTCTAATTTGAGGATGTCAGGATGATGTAAATAAGCAAAGGAAACTTTATAATCAGATTCAAAATATAAAATTTGCTACAAAAAGTAAAACCCACTTATTAACTTAAAGATTTCCACATCTCAGTGTTCTTATCTTCCGCTTCCTCCCTTTCCTCCTCCTTATTTTTCCAATTTCTTTCTTCTACTTATTCTTCTTTTCTGTTTTTGTGTTTTTTTGGGTCCGACTCCATCTCGATCGACGCTATTCTTCATTGAATATTAGAGCATTAAAAAAATTATGAGTTCTATGTCTTCAAGAAAATAAGGAAAACACTTGTATCTTTTATATTGTACATTTGTATATAAGATATCGTATTGATACGTGTTAAAAAACGATTTAAAATTGAAACAATTTTATATACATCTTTGAAGTATTACTTACTGCATGCATTATAAATTAATCCTTACGTCAATTCTTTTGTGTTATTATAATGATTTCTTGTAAGTTGAATAACACAGAAATCTTTCAATCCAATAATTTCAATAATTTAACAAAATATTGTAATGATCTTTCAATATTTTTTATTTATATTTCTAAAGATCTCTTTGCAATTACAGTTAAACTTTAAGACCAATTATCTCTGAATTTGCATGGGGTCCACCTCCTATGGCAGTCTTGAGGAGTACGGACATATAAGTTGTGGAATAGAGACTTTTGATTTATTAAATAACATTTTGAGCTCCCAACCTCATGGGTAGTGGAAACATTATAAAGTTCTTAAAATGTTTTGGAAAGTCAAATACGAGACCAAGCAGTAGTTTACCTATTTTCGCAGCCCGATGCTTCTCCTTTTGTCACGATCCAGATTTTCCACCCTCGTGAGTCGTGATGGCGCCTACTCGTAGAAGCTAGGCAAGCCGCGAAATGGAGAAATTACTAACTCTTTTATTTTAATCCTTTTTAACAATTTGTATTAACAGGTAATCAACACTTAACTATTAACGATAAACAGAACAAGCGGAAGACTTAAGCAGCTAAAAATAACCAAGCCAATACTACAATGTCAATATACTCCTCTATCTAGAATCTGCTGTCACAATATTCACGGACGGACTAAGATTACTACAACAAATGTCTGAAAGAAATACAATCTATCTCGAAATCTAATGAAAACAAAGTACATAATAAATTAGAAGAGAACGCCGGGTCTGCGGACGCCTGCAGGACTACCTCGGGATCTCTGGCTGGACTGAAGGCAGGCTCCCCAAGTGCTACTGTCCAAAGGCTGCTCCGGAATCTGCACATAGTGCATAGTGTAGCATCAACATAACCGACCTCATGTGCTGGTAAGTGCCTGGACTAACCCCGATAAGGTAGTGATGAGGCTAGGACCAGACTCCAGATAAACCTGTGCAGTTATATAATATATAGCGGAAAATAAATAGGAATAAACAATTTAAATGGGAGGGACATGCTACAGGAAAAATATCAAATCCAGCAGAAACTTAAGAAAATAGGGGAGAACAATTCAAAATCTACTACAAAACGATAATAACACTGTTGCGGCGCGCAACCCGATCCCTTATCATTNATATATATATATATATATATATATATATATATATATATATATCATTGTTGCGACGTGCAATCCGATCTATATTTAGTTTTGTTGCAGCGTGAAACCCGATCCATATATTTATATACCTTGAATAACAACCATACCACGAGTCTCGGCAAGGGATCAACAATAAACTACACTATCCCGGCAAGGGATTCAACAGTAAAAGTAAT